AGCCAGTTGATGTTGCATTCATGTAAAAGGCTGCTGTGAGTAGAAGCACCTTTTCTGCTTCAGACCTTCAGACTACAGTGTGTAGCAGTAGAGACTCATAAAACCCCACTGAATGTCTGAGCTGCAGAAAGGTTCTGGGATGTTTTCAAACTCAGTGTTACTTACAATTTGCTCAGACAGTTGTAATTCATTTCATTCGGAGTTGGAATTGGTTTGATAATCCTTGCCCTCTCCACACAGTTTGAATTGGTTCATGGTCGTCATTGAGGGGAAACTGAGGCAAACCCTCTTAACGGGGTCTTAAAGGCATAGTGTGAGGTAATGTTGGAAGTGATAGGTTCTCCCCTGGGGTTGATTAGGCTCAACCCTGTAACTTTCACTTAATGTGATATGACCCCTCAGAGCCCCAAGTCTCTGACAACACACACGCCCTACCATTACTACCACACACAGACACACACACAGTTCACACATTCCACCTTCAGCCCTCACGCTCCCCACTGCACCAACTGCTGTTTAGTTTAAAACAAGGCTGCCGGCAATTAACTGTGTTATGTCAAGCATATTCTCTGGCTGTTGCTCGCTGGGTAAACTGTTCCAATTGGTCCCCAGCAGCCGACTCGGTAGAACAGTAAGTAGGTGTCTCTGTTATCACAGCATGGTTTTAAAAAGCCCACTGAGGATCACACCGTGCAGTGTAGGATTTCGGGCTGGTTAGTCAACGTAGAGCTATTAGCTTTTTGTTTTGCCTTGGCAACATGTGTTAGTGAACTTTAAAGGAAAAGTCCATCCTTGAATTCTCACGTTGTGCACATTTGGCCGGTTACTGTGTCAATGAGAATAACAATAGAATGTGTCTGGAAATGTGAGGTACATTGCCAGGAACTTTTTGATTCTGGTGTGAATTTTCCCCCTTCAGTGAAACTTTTTAAGGAAAAAAAACTCAAATCTGAAAGGAAAACTTTGCATTTATCAGTAAAACCAGCATTTTATGGTGGCTAGTATCAGCTAATGTTAGCAAACTTTAGGCACAAACTGACATTTATTATGTTGACGTTAGTATTTTGCTTTACTTGTGATACTTTTAAACTATAGTTTAGCACTAGCAATATCTATTAATTGTCACTTGTGGCCACAGCAGCAATTATTTAGCAAAAGTTATGAAACATGTCTGTTACTTTACCTTTCTCAAAATGAGCCTACGCGACAATTACGGGATAAAAGAGTCAGAGAAAAGAGAGACGTCAGCAAACTCAGTAATGTCAGTTATGAAGCAATATCTAGCATAGCTTAGCTAACATGTTAGCTGCCATTTGCCAGCTGCTGGTTATGCCAGATCAAATAAGGCTTTAACACTAACCTCTACCGTTGAACGTAACAAAGGTGTGTTTCCATTTTTAAGAGGAAGAATGTGTTATTTAGTCCTTCGAAAGATACAAAGATACGTTTACATGCACATTAGTAACACGCTTTTGATCTTTTTTGGGTTATGACATTTACATGGAACATGAGAAACCTGGTTAAACATTATCCAGGATTCTGATCGTGTGTGTGCATGTTTGTCTTGGTTCCTCAACATCTCAGCCACTCATTTCAGAAACCTGGATAAGGTGTTTACATGCCACAGTATCCAGGTTTCTATCGAAGCACTCCAGGTAACATATCCAGGTTTCTGAAACAAAGATAAGATGTTTGTTTACATGCGCAAAACATAACTGGGACACTCCAAAAACCTGATCATAGCCACTTGTGCGCATGTGAACACACTCAGTCTCTTTTTAGGTTATTTAGTCCAATAATGATGATGATTTATTGTTAATAGTTTTTCAGTTATTTAATTTCAGTCATTAGCAGTTGGTTAGGTGCACTATATTCTTTTCAGGGAAGGTGATATAGCAAGGGTATTGGTTTAAAAGCATGCTCTAGGCAGGTCCATCCAGCCAAAATCCAACCTCCTTGCTAATTTCAAGTTATTTAGTGACACAGAAAACCTTTCCAAGTCTGTCTGGTTTCAGGATAATCAGGTCTGCCAGTGAGAGGATTCTTTCCATGAAGGAGCTAAGCTGACATCCCCACAGACACTAACTTGTGGAGAAGAACATCCATATTTTCTTCTCATTTGGTTGTGTTCCCATTTATGTAATAGGTCACCGCAATAACAAAACCGGTTATTTACACTCAAAGCCTAATTTATCCGCCAGATATTAATCTCTAACTGTTGTCTTGTAATTCACCGCAATGACAGGCAGACCTTTTAAATAAACACTGATGGTGACCAGAGCGAGGGAGGGCCATCGCTCTTGACGAGTGATGATCCCTTCCACTATCTCTATGCGCTCTGAGGCCTAAACAGTTTATTTCGTGTTTGCAGTCACTTCCTAGGGGTTGTTAAGCTGATGTACAGTTTGACAGAAACGGAGGGAAACCAGATCATCGGAGGAAGATTGTTTTGACCTGATAAGTAGAAATGGGTACATTAGGGAGAAAAATGGAGCAAAACACTAAAACTGGGGGATTAGTCTTGTGTTCAGTTTACACAGACAGATGCCACATGCTGCAGGATTCTTTTGTGTAAGAATGTGGACCCACCTACAGTATTATTTTTGTGACTAAAAGGAGCTACAAACTTGTTCACAAATCACAAACTCTGCTAAGGCCATGCACAAAATTAAGTATAGTTTTTTATGCATATTGGTCCATTCAGTGGATGTTGTGGGGCTTTCGATTATACCATATGATCTTAGCAATTGCCCAGTTGTCATGGAATTATAGATACATTTTTTCTAAGCACTTTAATGTAGTGTTCAGAAGAAAATTAACATTTAAACACACAACTACAGTTCTATGACAACTGGTCAAAACTTAGTGTGCTGCCCAGGGACTACAGATGAAAGGCAGCTAGTGACTAAATCTGCAGCCGCTACACAACTTCAGTTATTTGTTACTCTTCTACTGACAGTTCAAATACTTCTTTTAGTCCGTCCTCTTCAAGTTCATCTACTTTGAGTGCTTTTAAAGCGAAAATTCAATTCAATTGGAAACAGAAATTTCAAATGGCTTTAGTAAATACACTTAGACACCTCATTCTCTTTCAGCACTTCAACTGCTGTGTTTCAACTTAAACTGCAACTGGGATACAACATCTTGCACGCAGACAATTAACATCAACCCTTATTTAAAGAGTGTGCGCGTGCGATTTGCAGTGTAAGCAAGCTTACTTAAATCTTCAGAAATCTTAATTATACAACTTATATTATAATTCCCCCTCCTTTTGATGCACATACCCACAGGCAAAATTCAGACTGGTACACCTTTTTTACTTACAGTAACGTGCCTTCCTCAAGCCCTGAGCCACTATGTTAACGTTGGCTAATCTAACTCTGACACATGATTGATAACCTTTCCCAAGTGTGCAGGATCCAAAGGATTAGCCGTGTTTACTTCTAGTAGCATGCTGGGTACCTCCACTGTTAATGATGGGAATTAATAACCTGCTGACGCCTATGAGACAGCTATGTTTATGCACAGGCACAGGCACAGACATGACGGTCTGCCCTGGACATTGAGTGTCTGCCCTTGCCCAGAAAGGTTTGTGTTTATATGTCACTTATGATGATGGTAATATTCATTTTGGTCTAAAATGATTCTTTCCAGTATTTTTTTTGTCGATGTGGACTGGCCTTTAACATTTTTGGGTCATATGACTTACTGAGATATTAATAATACAGGATTAGTGCAGTGTTTACATTTCTTCCTCGCTATGTATCTGTCTCTCTCTCCCTGCTTCTGGTTTTATCCCCCCCTCCCTCTCTCTCACACACACACACACACACACTAAGGGGCATGAGAACGAGGTAAATCCTTGACAACTTCAATGAAACCTCACACAAAGAGTAAAACTCGGGGGGATGAGAGAAATGCAACACCGTACAGTAGCCTGACCTCCTCCAGCTACACAGACATGTATGCACCAGATACCGGGCGTGGCCGCCATTCTGCACAAAGCCAGAAATAAAGAGCGAAGCTATTGCTTTCAGCAGCAAGACCCCCGGGTGACCTTCTTCATCGACCCCAGCATGACCCCATAGTGAGGAAGGAGAGAAGCAAAGCGCCTGGTATCACTGCACAGGAGTCGAATGCTCATCACAATAGCTAAAAAAGAAGGCGCTGTCATTGTGTGCTCACAGTAAATCAGCATGAAGTTGACAGTCCCATTTCTTGGGCCTGTGTGCCCACCATAAAGGCCGGCACACTCATAAGTCAAACTGTTTTCTCCATTTACACTCTCACTGTGAGTGTAGCCTGAAGACTTGGGTCATCCATGCATTGTTTCTTAAGCATTTCTCCACAGCTGGGCTGGTTTGTCTGTTTCAGGTCAAATAGAGGTTCATGGCTTCGGGGTTCAACTGTACTAAGCTTACACTGAGGAATGTGTCGCATCGAGCTTCAATACCAGCTGGCAATGGAAGCTTGGGGCTTGGGGAATTGATCATTTCCACCCTCAAACCCCCTGAAATGACTCCCTCCAAAACTTGAACAAGCTCAAATTTGCCATAGCTCCATCCATGTACGCACACGCATCCACGCTTTTATGCATTCACACACAACCTCACAAACATTTGACCACCGTGGCAAATTTCAGCCTCTTAGGGTGAAAACTGTGGCTGCCAAAGCTAGGGAAATGTTTGTGGACCAGCCGACAAACCGACAGAGCGAGCTATAGTGCTGCTGCTAAAGAAATACAACAATCAGTAGACTCTGCAGCTGGGTTTGAAAGCAACATAACAATTGAATTATGCTTTGTTTTCTCATGCCTTTACGTGCACTATTCTTGTACATTAGGCAGATCCCCTTCCATCTTAACTCAAGTGTAAACAGTTATCTTTTCTGTTTATGTTCAGATACGTGACAGTTAACCCTGCGAGAGCGCTGCATAACCACCGTATAAATCTATCTATCTTTTGTACGTTTTCTCACGTCATTCTGTGTTTCGTCCACAGTCGACCTGGAGCACATGAGGACAGTTAAGGCTGACAAACACCAGCGTTTCTGCCAAGAAAACGGCCTCATAAGTCAGTTTGTATCAGCCAAGACGGGGGACTCGGTCAGTATCCGCTGATTAGATGTGTCACAATGACAACGTGAAGTACAGAGTGACTTTGCTAAGACTTACTGTCCTAATTTTTTGTTATCTTTTTCTCCAGGTGTATCTTTGTTTCCAGAGAGTGGCTGCTGAGATTCTTGGAATAAAGCTCAACAAAGCAGAAATAGAGCAGTCCCAGGTGAGCCATAATGACATCAAGGTCTCTTTCTCAAATTTCACCAAAATGTCTAAGCAGCTGCCTCATAAGCCACATTTCAAATGGCTTATTTGCTGCTAACTAGGATAGAAAATGTACACTTTTTACTCCGCCTAACCTGCCACTTATAATGGATTGGTTAAAGAGTGAAAGTAAATGCTGATATTTCCGGGTTCCTCTCGCCTAGCATTATGTGTAATGTTATGCCTGAACCTAAGGGAGGTCACAGTGAGTGTGTTAGGTCAGTGGAGTTCACCACACACTGTAAAGGACCTATTGTTGTGTAAACAAGAGTTTGTTACGTCTGCCTCCTATGATAGTCTACCTGCCACTGACACAGCCCATCTGTAAATAGACCCACATTGACCACATTAGCGCGTGAAGTCAGAGGTTAAAGGTAGGCAGTTGTAAGGGTGAGGAGGTTAGGATTGGCTGTCTGATTTATTTGGTTTATCTCCCACCGTTTTGGGCCAAAACCGTCTCAGCTTGCCAGCCCGACCAAGGTGCCCAATGGTGGCAGCTGTAGGATTTACAAGGTCACCTCCCCCAGAAGCATTAATCCTGGGACTGATATGACCGCATGGAGCCATACTGGCTGGGTAGTGGCGGTTGATGAGCCTGGGGGCTACAGAGAGGTCAGGACCCTCAGAGAAGGGAGAGCATGTAAGGGAAGGACTGGCCAAATTCTTAAGCCCCTCTCCCATCACCAACACTACTGCTGACTAACTGAAAATGGCCATCAACTAATGGAGCTGTCTATCTACTTTCTTCTTCCTCCTCTCCCTTGATAGCTCTGTCAATAAAGCAAAGTGGTTTAATCCAGGCTAATCAAGTAGGGTGAGTGGCTGGATCCAAGAGACTGAGACTACTTGTGTGTGTGTGTGTGTGTGTGTGTGTGTGTGTGTGTGTATGAACCTGTGATGCAGTTTAATGGAAAAATACAATTGTAACAGTAAGATAATGATCCTATTATGGTGGCCTTAGCTCATAGTGTCAAATGGACTCTAAAATACATATGACAACAAGACTGCATGTACAGTACCTAGACAATTGTAAAATCTGATTAGCTGGCAGTATTTTATTTTCATGATTGTGTGAGAGACCTAATTGCGTCATTTGTGTCATCAGTAGTTCTGCAACAACGAAAGTTTCCAGAAATCTCAAAAGCATAAAGATATGAGCGCATTCCAGAAATGTGTGGCTTTGCATCAGGATATTTTTTGTTTTGCAAATTCTGTTGATCTACTGAACTTTAGAAGTCTAGTTTAAAATGAAAAGTAGCTAAATCTGCACATTTAGGAAGTTTGCGAATGTTTATCATTATTAAAATGGTCTTAGTCAAATTAATGGTTTTAGTTCCAGTTCTGTCCACAGAAACATATTCTATATAGTCAGACAAACTCTTAAAAAGACAATATCGTTTTCTAATGTGGAAATGGATATAGAGGCGAGGCTCTGAGCAGGTCATGGCTCTGGGTCTAACCGTGGGGCCAGCGAAGCCTCATTATCAGCTGTCAGCTTTAGAGAGCTGAACATGAGGGTCACAACCCCTAACAGTATTATATCTGCCTGGCAGCCCTCTCCGTCATGGTCCTCTGTCTGGTGGATCAGATAGGGAGGCCACGGATCACTCACCGACTCCGACACCAGGCTTCGGCAGCTCGTTAATCAGACAGCCAACCAGGGCCTGCTATTCAGCCATGTGGTCTGTTCTTCGGTGGTTACGGGAGTCCAGCAGCCTGTTGCACCATTAAGATCGCATGTAGGCTAATTTGAACTTGCATTCCTGCTTAGGCGGAAGCTTATGTATTCTGAAAATTGAACAGCTACCCCATATAATGTTCCATTGTATGTCTTAGTCAAAAAGTATAGCTTCAAAATGCTCTACGAGGTGTAAAGGTGATCATAAAGTAGCTAGACTTTGCACATTGGTCAGGAAAATGGAATAAAGCGACTGGAGGACCCAGAGGAACAAATACAGCTTGCTTTACATTGGCAACATAAATAGATTAGTGTACTAACAAGGGATTCATCATGAAGATATGTCTATTGTTCTTTTAATGATCAGGGATTCTGTTAAAAGTGAGTTTTGCTATTTGGGGAATTTTTGATTATTGGTTAAACAAAAACCATCACATCAGGCTGTGGGATGTCATATAGTATATAGTATAGTCAAGTAATTATCAGTTACAGCCTTAATTTACAGCGTTTTAAGTTTATTCCTTTGCTCAATGTGAGAGATATGAGAGTTTTGGGTCCTAACTTACATTGTTGGCCATGTGCTCACTATCTGTACACACTGATGTCATGCTTCACTTTTGTTTTTTTGTCAGTTTCTTACATTTCTTTTTCATTTCTCTCACCGCATGACCCTCTCCTCATTGTCCTTTCCTATTCATTGTCCTCACCCTGCTTGAATCTGGTCTCCATTCCCTATCCTCTCCTGTGTCTTGCTCCTTGTACTTACCTCCATCTCTCCACTGCTCTGACGTGTTGAACCTGCTCAGAGGATTGTGAAGGCTGAGCTGGTGGACTACCCACAGGATGAAGGCCCAATTAGACAAGAGAACAACCAGCAAAGCAAAATATGTTCCGTTCAATAACTGGAAGTATGTCTCCATGTAGAACTGCCATAGATCTTAGAGAGCAAAACCAGTTGCTTTGTAGTTGCAGTACATATCACAGTCATGGTGGATGTATTTGGTGTCGTGGTAGAGAAACCCTGCAGACTAATAGAACCTAATCACCCCTCCTCTGTTGTTATGTTGTGTTAGCACAGACACTAAAGTGTCTTAGGATTATAAGTAATGGGTGTTTTGCTGAGTTGGTTGAGAGTGATCTAGTGAGAAAAAAATCTTTATGATAACAAATATGACCGCCTCCTCCAACTGCCTGGGCGGGGTTGCACAAATATTCTGACCAGCGCCTTAAATCACGGCATTGATTTTGAGCCATGTACTAATAAACGTTAAAGGAATAGTTTTGGGAGACATGTTTATTTGCTTTATTGCCAGATCAGATTGCGTATGCGTTACATATGAAACCAGCAGCAAGCAAGACTTCCTGGAGTCTCCGCTAGTTGCCTGGCAACCTCATAGAAGTCACTGCTACTGACCAAGAAATAGTCCAGCCTGCAGACTTACTCCATGCCACAAAAGTTTAATAAGGAAAATATTCCGATCCTAGTTGGGTCTGGGTATGGTCAGAATGTTTGCTTTGAAACTGCACCCATATTTATACATTGTGCACATCAATAGTGATAAGCTTAATGGTGGCAGGTATGGTTAAATATCACAACCAGGGTAATAAACATCCCAAAACAATTAACAATACAATAAAGTACATAGAAAAAAGTATAGAGATAAATAATTGATGAATTGATGCTATCACTTGATAGCCTTGCACAAGTGATGTGTGTCTAATTACTCTGCTTCTTCAAGAAATAGGTTTTTGCATGGATTAAATAAACAAGATATCACATGTTCATTAGTGAGCTTTGGATATACTGGTAGGTGGATTTTGTTACAGTCATTGTGCTAAGCTAACCAGCTGCTGGCTGTAGCTTCATATTTACTGTACAGACATGAGAATCAATAGTCTCTTCTATTTACATCTGTCTCTGGTTTAGGGGCCTAAAAACACTTGTGCATTTAAAACTAAAACTCTTTGCAAGATAGTGAAGTTAACTATTGATTTAACAAAGTGCCATTTTTAAAAAGATTTGCAGTGTATAAGGCTTTATTTTTAACAGCTAATCTCATTTATTCTCATTCTCACTCTCTAGAACTCTTTGTTAAGCTGTAAAGATTTGACTCTTTGTCCGTATTGTTGTGGCAGCTTTTTGTCTTCATCTGTCTTTCCCATCTTTTCAGCGTGTGGTGAAGGCGGACATTGTGAACTACAGTCAGGACACCGTGGCCAGGACAGTCAACCCACCTCGCAGCTCCATGTGTGTGGTGCAGTGACACCCTCCGAGACACATACACACACAGTCACACACTCACACAGTCGCACAGTCACACTTAAAGATGTAAAATTGTCTTCAGTCAGTATTCCTCTTTCGGGACTTTTGGTGTGACTGGATGAAATGTGTTCAGAGTGTGTTCTCTGTATTACTGTGTGTCAGTTGTTCGGGTGAGATGAAGAACAGACTGTGTGGTTTCGAGGCCTTGGCCTGTAGTTCGGATATTTAGCAGGAATGATCTCTTGGGTGGTTCACCAAAAAGGAAACGGGACCTCCGTTTTTTCAAGTTTACATGCAGCTATCATTTTATTTCTGTGATTCATCTTAAATAAATATAAAAAAGACTTGATAGTTAGTATGAAGCTGGTTGTCTAAAAGAGAAAGACAATTGGTGTAATCAGTCACTTTGGTAATTGAAAATATTTTTATACATGTATAAGTATATTTGCTTTGCCATTGCTATTAGGCATATTTGTTTGAATGATTAGATATGCTGCTGTATATTTCTATCGATATCACCATCAATACCTGTTAAATCTCTGTCCCTACGACTGCAGAGTGGATTGGGTGTGAGGGTTAATGGGACATAAACAGGGAGGTGAAACCAAATGTTCTCCCATACAATTGTCTGATATTCTTTTACGTCTGTGGTGCTCCTCAGTTGACCAGGAGGGAGATAGGAGTTAAAATGCTGTAGTGGACTGAAAGGAATCTATGTTTTCAATTTGCCAATTAGGGGCTTACACTAGCAGTGCTGTGTCGTGAACTGTGTACTGTTATTTTTACATAGAAATATTTACATTTTACAATCTTAAATCAACATTTACAGTTTATATTCTTTATTCTTCTTCAGATTATATCCAATTAATTTACATCCTTCAAATAGTATCTCCATTCTCCAGATATTTCTTCTGGACTCTACATTTGCATTTTGACCATTTAGCATTACATTTGTGACATTCCCGGATTCGTCTTGTTAGAGGACAATTCAGACGCTGTGTTGATAGATGAATATGACTCAGGAAGGAAGTACCTGAGAGTCAAGTTGAGCATGAGCTGAGCTGAAATGAAATGTACAACATTTTAGTAGAGGTCTCTACATAGCCTTATTCAACTGTCCGTTATAGAACAGAAGTTTGCATTGAAGAATGGCTATGAGGCATGAAATGCTTCATAGGATCTTCATTATGACCACATAATAGCCTGTTTGATGTGTATTGTTAGAGACAGCTGAGATATTGTATGTCTAATCAGTTTTGTCATAGTAGTTTCTGCAGTACATGTTGGCATGATGGGTTTTAATATGTGTCCACTTACCAAAATATCTGCCATATGTGTAAAATATGTGTTTGTACAATAAAAGCAACCTCTGCTCCATTTCAAAGCTCCTGTCATTGATTAGAAATGATCAGAACGCATTCTGTAAGTTATGATCATGTAAACAAAATACAGTTTAAAGTGAATGTTTATTTGATGTTCTACAGCGACACAGATTTGTGTTTCTAAATAAAGATGCTACAAGGAAAACAAGAAATGATCTGTGCAGTGCAATCTGTAAATACATCATCGGTGTGTGAGATTACCTCACTGTCTCATAATGGATGATTATTGATAATTGATTTTGCCTAATCCTAATTATATGAATCATTTCTAATTGGTTATTCCATCCATTATCTGCCGCATTCATTTAATTATTTATATCATCAGGAAATTATTCTGTACTGCTGAGTTATAATAAATTATTCTAGGTCATATTATCTCTACTGGTTTTCCATTAGAATTGAATACTTTGGCTGGTGTCCTTGTGAAACGTACTAAACTACAACTACTAAACTGCGTTCTATGTGGCATTAAAGTTGAGTTTGGTGAACCCTGCAGACATCCTTGAAATGTTAGTTTGAGCAGTATAGTTTTACAAAAATACGACCTCTATGAATGTGTCCAGGCCTCCTCATTACTCAGCCTTTGTTAGCTTGTTACCACATTCGGGGCCTTGGTTTCATTGCAATTTTTCACTCCATGTTGCTAACACAAACCAATAGGAACAGGCCCCGGAGGTGCTCATATGAACGACAGATGATGGGAATGGGACTATAGCTGATGAGCGCATTACAGATTAAGGATCCATGTGTTGAAATTTAAGCGTAAGGACTGAAACTTGACTACCCCAGCAGATCCCCGCTGTACAGACTAACCTAAGCCTCTGGTAGCTAATAAGCCACCTGGTCTTTGTTCAGTAAATCTTCACTGAAACAGCCCCTAAATCCACTCTGGACAGATGATACAAACGGCTTTATAAATGGTTGTAAGCTGTATTAATGAATCACTTAAATAGTCCAGCCTTTTGTTGCTGTCACACAACTGTAAGAGGGTTCTGGTTTTGGGTTTAACCTTTTTTTTTTTGGTGAGTCAATGTCACTGAAACCGCCGGTGTGTTTAGAAGGATTAAGTGCATTCAAAACCACAGAGACAAACGCAACAAAGGCTGTATCTTTACAAGAATATCTTGCATTTCATCTTCTTCTAGGTGTTGATAAATGTCACTGTGTGTCTGTTGCAGTGCCACTGCAAACAACACTGAAACTTAATGGAGAGTGAGGCAGCACAGCTGGGGTCATTCCAGCCCACGTGCATTGTCTCGCTTGAGTGGACGTCTTAGGAATTGTCTCTGCTGAATTTTTGTCAAGAGCTGTCACCAATGCTGACAGGCGAGACTTGCCCTTGGCTTTGCCGCTGTTTAGACAGGTGTTTTTGCAAAGAAAACAACTGCAGCCCCGTTTCCAGCTTAAGACGCTCACAACACCGACGTTCCCCTGAAGACAGAAGGATATTGCTGTGCGGATAATGCCTGGGAAGGGTGAGGCTTTTGACAGATTGGCAAAAGTCAAGGGTGATTTGCGTCAAAATGAATTTGTCTACCTGTTTCCTCAGTAGCTCCATGTGAATCATTTTGTGTGTGTTTGTGTCGGTTTTGGTGTTTGCTCACTCTCCATTTGGGTACACAGACCAGCGAAGATGCAGAAGTAAACAGACAAACTGTACTATGTATTTGTTCATATTTAGTCAACCACTGTGACACATTAAATTTGCTCACTACTTTGTAGTCTCAGAATAAGTTTTGGTCCACCATGAAACCAAAACACTACTTCCCTCTGAAGGTCTTCGCCTCTTCTCTCAGCTTTCAGCCTGTATTTACTTGAATTCAGTGGGCACAAGTTCTGCTTTTTTGTATTTCTCTTTCCTCTTCCTCCCCGTCTGTGTTTCTCATTGCTGAAACTCTGTGATGACAGTGTCAAAAAACCACACACGACAAGCTGGTAAGAGGGCCATAGTTGTGGGTTGTGCTTTTTTTTGCGTGGGCAGAATGGGGGCCAACACCCTCGTGATTACCCTCACCCCTCTTCCGTTTTCCACCTGTGCAGAGTGCCAGACCCACAGCGCTGAGGGAGTAGGCAGGACTGAGTCAACCCCTCTGATGAGCTCCAGTCCCCCTGGTCCCCACACTGGCTCCTATTCTCTGGTAGAGCGCAGTGGGCCAGCCAGCAGCAAGAGGAGTGACAGGCAAGGCAAAGGCAGGGCCTGCGCTGGGCCAGAGCTGGCATCCAGTTATATTCCGAACCCCCGAGGTGAGCCAGCAGTGCTTAGTTCCCAGGGTACTTCAGAGGATTGCTGTCCTCTGTTGTCTGTGGGTGTCCCTAAGTGTGTGTGTGTGTGTGTGTGTGTGTATACAAGGATGTGTGTTGGTAGATTGTGATCTGAGAACTCTGCTTGTCTTGTTTGCAGACTGCAGCTTGTGTAGACTGTCCTGGTAGGTGCTGTGTGTCTGCTGCAGCTCGAAGGCACATGATTTATTTTAGGGGCACGGATGTGGGCATTCAGAGGGGTCATATTTATAGTCCGTTGGTCTGGTGAGAAGACCTGCCAGTAAAAGCACAGATTCTGAAAAAGAGGCACGGGGACAGAAAACTGAAAGTCTTTCTCTCTTTAAAGGCCACGGATGAATGCTATTTTCAGTGGGCTGTAATGAATAGCACTTAAAACTGAATAGCTCTTGTATTGGATTTTAGATGCAGAGGGAAGGGGAGTAATGAGGGAACAATAACAAAGCCTCTCTACAGGGCATGTGATATTATTTCAGTCTAACAAAAGAAACACAAAAATCTAGTGATGTTAAGATAAAAAATTACATTATCTATCTTGCAATTAAATCCTCACCGCTTTTAGGCTTGAAAGGTGGAGCTTGTTAAATTTACCACAGCTATAATTGATTCTACTGGTGAGCCCCCCAGTAAAAACCACCAGTGCTGAAAAAAGAGCTGAAATGATACATTTATTGACAGAAAATGAAATATGCAATTATCTGATTATCGATTAGCTGTAAGTTTCCAAGAATAAATGAACAACATGCAGTTCCACATTTTGAAATGTGAGGATTTTCTGCTTTTTTTTGTCATACATAGTAAACTGAATAACTTGATGGTTGAATGACAAGAATTTAAAGATGCCAGCTTTGAAATGTTCACTATTTTCTTGATATTTTATATATTTTATAATAACTGTTGCATTAATTCATAATTACGTAATAATTACTTTGAACTTATTGATCGGCAGTGGCAAAGTGCATTATGATGAGGAGTGATTTAGGGAGCTCCTCTGGACGTTTTGACGCATTTTCTAATTATAACTGCGCAAGTTTACTACATCTACATCTGTGAACAAGCAAGCTGCCCGTTTTTCAGAGCTGCTTTCAAGCAACAGATTTTTGATTGGTTGTTCTATGTGTCACAGTATTTATGGCCCTCCCTCTTTGCCTGCAGTGTTACTGTACCTACAATAGTCATGCAGCACCATTGCTAATGAGTTAATAAAAGCATTTGCATTTTGTTTCAGTGTTTTGTAATCTGTAATACACTGTTATTTTATAATTTTGTGGCTTGTGTGTGTTCGAGAGTCTGTGAATTTGAATTTAAATGTGAAATATAACCCATTTTTCCCAAACTTCTACAGTCTGAGCTCAGTCTCGCTGAGATACGGTGGCACTGGCAGACATGCTACATTGTGTACACATAATAATGAAAGGTCAGAGGCTGTCTCATTCCTAAGAAGCAGATTATGAATGTACTTGGCCTCTTCAGAGCTGATAATTGACACCTCGTCTGACTCACAGACCTGTATAGATCACGTGTTTGATAAAGGATCTACTCTGTTAGAAGAAGACACAATGATATCGTCATGTAAAAATGACAGTAATGATCCAACACTTGAGCGCTTACCTTCTTCTCAGCACCTGAATTCATCCGGTGCCATCCTTCAACAAAGAGACGGTTACTGGGTGGGACCAGAGTTGGGTGTCACTACTTACCGCAACTGTTGGAAGATAAATATACATAAAAGAGTTTATAAGCACAGTGAAAATATACGCAGGGAGGCAGATTACAAGGTCATTACTCAACTCGGCTCCCTCTCTGTCTCTTTTGCTTTGTGATTCCTCCCTCATTGTTCCCCAAAATACTTTGGATACAAAACCTGATACGAGAGCCATTCAGTTTTTTAAGTGCTATTCATTACAGCCCACTGAAAATAGCATTTATCCAAAGATGACACTTCGAGGCCTTTCAAAAGACTACTTAGGAGATGCTGCAGTGCTTTGAGACACTGAAGTGTGAATATATATGTAGACGTTCCACTGTGGCATTTCTTGAGGTGGGAAAGTATTGCTCTGGGATTAAGTAAGTGCCTCTGTGGAGAAAAAATGTCTATGGCCAAAATGAATTGAGCATTATTGCTAATTACAGAGGGCATATCCCTTCTGGATTTGTGGAAGTATGCTAATTCCATGTTGATCTGTACCTCAAATTATGTCCCATTTAACATGCGACAGAGTGGAACTTTCACTCCATATTTGACTGGAAAATTCATTTAGTGTGGAGCCTCAAAAATGAGTCAGTCCTCAGTGGCCTCTGTGGAGAAACAATAGTGTGTAAAGATGGCATGTTACACAGTACAAGTCCATGTTTATTGACATCCATGAATGACTGCTTCAGGTGTTCATTTCTCTGCAGGGACGACCGCTTGAAAAGAAGAAAATCTGTTGAAATGTGTTGAAAATATGTGGTCTGTCTATCCTGTCTCTTTCCAAAGAACAAAAGGCACAGGAATATGAATTGTTCCACCAGGTGTGTTTGGAAATGACGTGCTTCATGATCTGTACAGAAGGTGCATATCATCAGTGAACCTCCACAATGTCAACTTTTCAGGAATCAAGAAAAACAGCTTTTATTTTTAGCTTGACGGCAACGCATTGCTCATATTACCCAACAGGATTTTAACAAGCCGAGAGGTTTGATAGGATTCTCAGCCCAAAAATGAACAAATGAAACGCTACATTTATCTCAAGTGAATATTAAAATCACCAGAAGTGAAAGGTGATGAGATTTTTGTTCAATATTTGATGGATGAGGCAAATGTTTTAGGAAAAAAAAAACCCTCTTCTCGACAGTTGTTAAGTATAACTTGGCCA